ATAATATAGCATATTATGGATAGTAATTTATAATTAATGAAATCATCTAAAAAAAATTATATTTAATGAAAGTTAAAAGATGTAAGATGATAAGTATATGTAAATGAGAAAAAAATGGATACTAAATGTAATATTTTGGGTTTTAATTTTATCATATTAAAAAAATAAATAAGTGATTTTTTTTATATATACATATAAATATATTTAGTAAATATAAATAGAGCGGGAGTGGATTAGAATGAGACGGGAGAATCAAAAGTCTCCCTACTCCACTTTCTCATTGAGGTAGAGAAAACTCATTTAGAACTAGACAGGGAATGCGAGGACGAACCAGGATGAGAGAAAATGGACATTCCCAATTAGAGAATCCACCTCCTAAAAGAAACTTTAGATCTCATACCCGTTATTAGAGTTGTGCAAAATACCGTTTAATTTGCTAAAATCGTACTGATTCACACCATTCTATCTATTACTCGCGGATTAAATTTTAAAATTTATAAACCGTCTTCGAAACTGCTCTACTCTGCTATAGTTAATACATATATATTTTTTAATCTCTAATCAAATATCAAAATAAAAATGAGTGTAAGAGAGATTTAAGTTATAAAATTTATTACAAATTAATAGTTATATATATGAAAAATATTATATAAAATTAGTTTGTATTATATATATGAAAAATATTATACAAATTAGTATTATATATTATAAAAATATTTGATAATTAGTTAAAAATATTCTTTAATCCGTCAATCCATTTCAACCATGATTTAATTATCCATTAATCTACCATTTAATTTATAATTTTTACTCTAAAACCACTCAAATTGCATCGCACATCCCTACTCGCCATTGGCACCTTAATGCATATTTATGAAATTGAGTTGTGCTGTCAAAGAGGAGAGGACGAAATTAATGTGACAACTTGTATATTGATTGGAGCAAAAACCCTAATCAATCAAGTTTTGAAGGGAGGTGTAATGCCTCCAAAGAGGACCAATTAGTCTTGAAAAATCTAGAAATCCCCTAGATGTTGATTTGTGATTATGTATCAATTTTAAGCAGTATATAACAATTCCAATCAAACAATCAAGACAAATCGACAAAACGATTTTACGTGAAAAAACCACAATTGGACACCTCCAATTGTGGTAAAAAAACCACGGGCAACAGCCACAAAACAATCTACTAAAAAGACATAAAGGAATTATACAGGTATACTCTCAATTACCTAGCGAATCCACGCCAAAATTGAACCAACCCCTATGTGCCTCTTCCAACCCCGTCTTCACCTCGGAATTGTCTTAACGATGAGCCACTCCAGAATCCACCAAAACTTCAGGCTCAAATTCTTCAGAATCCACCGAAGTACAACTCTCTCTTTTGTATAGAACAAACAAATAATCCTTTGATGTATACTCTTTAAACCATGAGTTGAATACTCAATCAAAACATCAAAGAAAACTAGCAAAATATCTCCAGATATAAACCTTAATATCCAAAAAGAAGATCTGAAGAAGTAATCCTAGTTTTGGAGTAAAACAACTACTTATAGAAATCCTGGATTTTGAAGCTCGCTCGAGCAAAGCTTCTCTCGCTCGAGCGAGGAACATATTTTGCGCGATTTCCATAAGTGGCTTCGCTGGAGCCACGCATCCTTCGCTCGAGCGAACAAACACCTCTTTTAGGTCTTTATGCAGACGCAGTCCTTCGCTCGAGCGAGGACTCCTTCGCTCGAGTGAGCAAGGGCGGACATGCAATTTTGGACATGCAACTCCTTCTTCTCTACATGCAGCTCGATTCCCATCATAATCAGCGAAGTGGCAATCTTGAAAGCATTAACATCACAAACTTCTCTGCAAGGCACAATTCGGGTTGGATTCGCATCTAAACACTCAGTCTCACTGAAATAAAAAGTGCGAAAACAAGTACAACCGAAAAGAGTTTTGTCAAACGGAATTGCTAAAAATAAAAACCTAACAAGTCTTATCTGTCCTAAGGTGTCCCACCCAGGCTAGCCATATGCCCAATTGATTGCTATATATATCATGGACCAAGAGGATTATATTCCAAATTATTGGAATATATAGGAGAGTAGTTAGAAATTTTATTTTTTTCAATTAATTATGTTAAATAAAAAATTCAAACATTAGGGTATTTATAACATTTACAAATCATAGAAGACAATTCATATTTTAAATGAATTTTAAGAAATATATTTATAATTTAACCATAATTTTATATGTAAATTATGTTTAAATGTCAAAGAATTTTGTATCATCATGATATAGGCATCTAGATCTTCTTTGAGACTGCTTTCACCATAATACTCTTTGCCATTCAATTCATCCAAAACCAATCATTTGAAATGAAGATATTCTGAATGAATGAATATAATCATTATTGCTCTTTCATCAAATCAGATCAAAGTAAAGTCGCTTGATTATACCTCAATTGTTGTGTAATTCCAAGGTCATCATATGAAATCAGAGTTGGAAGTATATCATCATTCACTTTATTTTATGAGATCAAATTTTCATAGAGTAGGTGTTTGGAAAGTTGCTATTTTAATAGGTTATTTTAATTTTTGCCTATTTTAGGAGGTTAAAATTTTTATGTTCGGGAAGATAGTTAGATATTTTTGTAGTTAGATGTGATGTTTGTGAGACAAAAAGTAAAATGATTATAGGTTTGATGTGATATTTTATCTTATAGACTATTTTAGCTTATTTTTTCTTTTTAGTGCTATTTTAACCAAAAAAAGCCAAAAAAGTTGCTTCCCAAACACACCCAGATAAATCACGAGAGCATAAAATGAAATTTTACCTTTTTCTTAGGGAAGAAAATTGGAAAAATCTCACTTTGTTCTCCTATCAATTTTAAAAATTAACTCCCTAAATTGTTAAAATTATTTCACTTTGTGCCAAGTTGTCAAGGGCATTACAATTATTTGATGGAAAATTTCACATTACTCCACAATTATTACACTTGTATTAGATTAATCTTTTGGACTATCAAGTTTAACAATTAACGCATTAATTCACTTTGTTTCAAATTATGAATGATGTTAATAATTTTTTATGAAAAGCTCATATGAGCAAATCAAAGAGGCATGGAAAAAAAATAAAATTATTCTCCAATAATATCTGCATCCAGGGCCAGCCCTGAGATTTAAGGACCTAAGGCGATCTTTAGAAACAGGGCCCCCTCTTACATTGAAAAAAAATTCATGAATAAAGGTATAAGTTACAATTTTTTTATTTGCTTGTAGCCACAAAAAAAATTACTTACATATTTAATCATTAAAATTATAAACAAAACAATTTAATAAAACAAAATTAGGACAAAAAAATTAGGAAAAAATTATTCAATTAAAACTGATAAAGACCTAGATAAAAAAATTTGAGCAAAATTATTTATTCCATTAAAATCTAATAGATAAAGAAGGTAAAAGAAAAAATTAGGGCCCATATATTGTATGTATTATTTTTCTTGAGCCCAAACACTTTTTTTTTAATATATTTTTTTGTTTTAATAAATATGGACCAAATTACACTTATAAATAAATATGGATTAAACCATACATGGACCTAATAAAATATTTTGGGGCCTTTTAAATTGATCCTAAAACCCAAAAAAAAAAAAAATTGAACCTATAATATTTTACCAAATTTGGAGGCCCTATTTTTTGGTCAAAATTTTGGGGCCTAAGGCCCAGGCATTACTGGCCTTAGGCCAGGGCCGGCCCTGTCTGCATCAACTACAAGGAAAAGAGTAATGATAGGATTTCTTGGATTTTGTTGAATGATTTCATTTAAAACTCAAAATGACTTTGCTTTCATTCCCTCTTCCTTTTCTTTTTTTCATTTTATTGGGTCAAGCTTGTTTGGCTTGGTACTAATTTAGCGGTAAAAAGGATGGAGTTCAATTACATGTGCAAATCTCATTTACAAAATTGGTATTAATTTGACTAGAGAGGGACTACATTTCCCTTCATTGCTCCTTATACCAGTGATCAATTCATATGATTTTGGAACAAAGGGAACTAATTTTACTGATTTAAGGTGTTAATTGTTAAAAATAATCATTAAAGTAACACAAAGGTGACAATTTTTTATAAGGATATTTGGGGGCTTAAAATCGAAGTGTATTTTTTTTCTGTTGGAACTTTCATGGAGATAAGACTAGTTCTTTGGCTATGTCAAAGGATGATCTTTCTTCTGGTTAGCCAAGCCAGAGCAACCTCTTGTTTCCTGTTAAATATCCACCATTACACATTTATTCATAAACTAAAAGTTGGCGATTTCTCGACACAATATCTGAATGATCTTACCAAGCTTATATGGTGAATGTTGCCTATTGTCTTGACTTGTGCTGCCAAGAAAGACTTCTTGACATGGCCTAAACCATCAGGATGATTCACTGCAACTTTGGTGCCATTGCTTAGAAGAGTCCCCTCAAAATCCAATCCATATTGTCCTTGCCAAAGTTTCCTTTTGAAATTATGAGTACTGACTTTGAGCTCATAGTAAGAGAATCAAATGTGCACTCCAGGAACTTGATCTATGTAGTGTACAGTTTGGCCATTGAATGCTCAACAGGTTGGGCATTGTTGGGGAAAAACATGGCAAATGAATGTGAATTCTTTTGTTCGTCATGTCACACTCTCTTTGTGTTCCCAGTCAAGCTCAAGGTGAGGGATAAAAAAAGAAACACATTCTACAGACTAAGATGTACAAAATTCTTTCTTTCCAAGCAAATCAAGAACAAATTTCATCAACCAAATTATTAGTCAAAAAATGGCTCTGAATTTGTCCAAAATATAAGGTGGCTTTGTTCTGTCTTACACATCTTTGGAAAGAAAGTTTGAAAAACCCACTAACTGATATTTACTTGAATCATGAGAAACTCACATCCTATAAAAATATCTATCTTTTTCCCTTTGCTACAGAACTTGAGAATGTTTGAATTAAAAAAATGGGAAATCTAATCTTGCTCACTACATTCATGTGGTTCGGTATGTTCTATGGCAATGATGATGGAAGAACTTGAAGAAAGATAAAAAGGAAGAATATTATTGAGACAGTCAAAATTTTATCAGTGGAAGAAGACACTACCTAAAACACCATTAATCCTGGTATCATGGGTGTGATTTGCACAAATAAAACTCTTAAATTACAGTTCACCACATTTGGGCTTAGAGGACCTGGGTGTGTGAACAGGGAATTTTAAAGGGCCTTTCACAAAATTAAGTAGAAATACAACTCTTAGATAAGTCTTTACAAATTTCAACCACATCCAACTAAGAGTGGTGTGAACGGGGAACTGTACCAGACATGTTTTGACAGCTTTCTTCCCTTGTATCAATGCTTAATTCCAGACTAAATTGAAATCCTAAAACTTATTAGACCAAAAAAAAAAAAAAAATGGAGAGAAAGAAATACTCAATACTTTAAACAAGCAAATGTATTTGTTTGTTGATGTCTACTTGCTTTATCTTGGTCCTGATAAAACTGATGGAAATAATGGGCTAGCAACAGCACCAATGGCATCCTCTTGGTTACCGGCAGCTCTGATTGCTCTTCGTGCCACAGGAGTTGTGAAGTCATAATCCAAATTGCTTTCAACTTCTACGGAACCCTCCAAGACCTTAACCACCACTGACATGGAAGGCCTCCTTGAATAATCACTTTGTAGACACCACACAGCAATTCTCATCATCTCCACAACTTCTTTTCTATGTATCTGCATGTCATCATTGTATTTATCAACAATATCCAGAAGTTGTTCCTCTTCTGCTTTCCTCTTAAATAGACTTAGTAAATGCATATCTTCCTCAGGTTGAGACCTATCCAAATTTTTGCGCCCACATAACATTTCCATGACCACGACACCAAAGCTATAAACATCTACTTTCTCAGTGATAATTGAGTTCAACCATTCAGGAGCCAAATAGCCTGGTGTTCCCCTCATTATTGTTTCAACTTGGCTTTGGTCCTTATCAATTAGTTTTGACAATCCGAAATCAGAAATTTTCGCATTGAAGTGTTCATCTAAGAGGATGTTTTGGGGTTTGATATCCAGGTGAAGTATTTTCTGCCTGCATTCCTCATGGAGATAGGTTAGTCCCTTGGCTATATCCATGATGATCTTCTTTCTAGATTGCCACCCAAGAGTGAGGTCTTGGTGCCTGTGGAAAATCCATGTATCCAAGGATCCATTGGACATATACTCGTAAACTAGAAGACGATGTCCTTTTTCAGCACAAAATCCAATTAACCTTACCAAATTAACATGGTGAATGCTGCCTATTGTCTCAACTTCAGCTAAGAATGACTTTTTAACATGACCAAAACCATTGAGACGCTTCACTGCTATCTTGGTGCCATTGCTTAATTTCCCTTGAAATACTGATCCAAATCCTCCTTCCCCGAGCTTATCGTTGAAATTGCATGTCATGGCTCTCAAGTCTTTGTAAGAGAACCTGATAGGCATCCCGGGTACTTGATCGACATAGAATTCATCAAGTTCCTTGGATTCTCCTTTATTTCTAAAAATATAAAAGCAAAAGGCAACCACAAAAAATACACCAAAGAAAGCTCCGAGACTTGACCCAAGTATGATCCTTAGGAGTTGCCTTGGTTTTCTATGAGAAGAATCTGCTGGTGAAGATGGAGCAGGAGCAACAATACTAGCAGGAGATGGAGATGGAGACGGAGATGGAGATGGAGATGGAAATGGAGATGGAGATGAAGATGGAGATGGAGGTAGAGGTGGAGATGGAGGTAGAGGTGGAGATAGAGATGGAGATGGAGGTAGAGGTGGAGATGGAGATGGAGGCAGAGATGGGGATGGAGATGGAGATGGAAGTAGAGATGGAGATGGAGGTGGAGGTGAAGGTGAACCAGAATCAGGAGGTAGGGGTTGGGCATTGCTGAAAGGTGCAGAGGACAAGAAAAAGGTGATAATAGCAGCAGCAGTAACATAATAATAAATAGTGCTACAACAACAACAACAACACAGATCCATTAGAAGTTAGAACTCTGTTTCTTCTTCTTGATTACTAGTCTTTGGTTTTCTTTTGTTGGGAGAAGAAGGTTGAAGAAGAAAGGTGAGTTGTAAACTACAGCTTTCGTGTCCGGCAAATGCAGAACAGTGAGTAAAGTGATGCATTTCAAATCAATCTTAAATCACTATTACAAGAATTGTTGCAAGAGTCCTTGAAATGTTGTTTACGTTCCCCACTGTTTTTGTTACCTCAAAAAAGAATAATATTAGGAGTTATGAAAAAAATATCATGAATTGCATTATGAAGATTGTTCATTTGTTGATTAGTGTGTGGTGTTTTATTCTAGGTGTAACGGTAGAGAATCTTTTATGATCATCTTCATGATATTATTTTCATGATTCGTAGCATTACTCGTCAAAAAAAGGAGCACACATTTCTTGACTCATACATGCACAAAAAAGATCGGACTCTAATAATCTCTGTGACAAGCTTATAATAAAAGATTTTCATTATATATCTAATAACTATAAAATAGAAATGTAAGCTTATAATTATTAATTTGAGGGGTAAAATAAAATTTCAAATGAAATTTTGATGCTACATCAAAAACTTCTATTTGATTGGTGAAAATAATTTTGATCAAAAAACAAATTAGTTCAATTATATAATTAATTTTATTATAAAGAATGAAGAATTTTATTTTGCACACCTCCATAACATATACACCATTATTTACGGCATTTTTTTTATTAAGTTATGATATTATTTTGAAATATTTGGTTATCACTTTTTTGTGCTTGATTATGACTTTTTTTTTAATTTTTTTTTTAGTTATAACTCAGAAAGTATAGAATTATATCATTTTCTTATGTCCATAGTTTTTTTCCTAAAAGAATAGAGGTTAAATTGATTTTTGAATAATAATTTGGGATGTAAATAATATATATATATATATTTTTAATTCAACACCAAATCAAATCTTTCAGTTTTGTTGGTTGAGGTTCCCAAACAAACAAGGAACATGCTACGATTTGGTGTAAATGAATGATTAACATGAAATTTTAAAAGATTTTTTACAAAATTATAGAATTTCATATTAAAAATAAGTGACGAAAAAAGTCAAAGTTATTCTCTAAATGTCATCCCTCTTAATTTTTATTACAAAATGAGTTTTCTGACTCAGTGTGTTTGGTTTGAGTTTTCTGGATTAAGTTTTTTGAAAACTGAGTTTATTGGTTTTCGTATTCTTTTGTTTTTAGTGAATATTTTTTAAATTTTAAACATTTTTTTTTTTACTTTTTTAGATGCACCTTAGTTAGATGTATCTAAAAAGTAAAAAAATTGTGGAAAAATATTTTAAAAAATTAATAAATTTTAGTGAATATTTTTTAAATTTTAAACATTTTTTTTTACTTTTTTAGATGCACCTTAGTTAGATGTATCTAAAAAGTAAAAAATTTGTGGAAAAATATTTTAAAAAATTAATGAATACAAAAAAATACAAAAAAATGTACTGAATTCTTGTATTTTTTTTATATTTTTGATATTTAGTGAATTTTTAAAAGATTTTTTTTACAATTTTTATACTTTTTAGGTGTATTTATTTAGGTGTGTCTAAAAAGTAAAAAAATTGCTTAAAATATTAAAAAAATTCAGTAAAAACAAAAAAATACGAAAAGAAAATATAATTTTCTAAAAAGTGTTTTCTAAAAAATAAAAACAAGTTAGTCACTTATCTTCTTATGTATAAAAAATTTAATATAAAATTTTAGTTAGTTCGACTTTTATTAATATGAAAATTTTTAAAATTGAAACTAACTACATGTTTTGAAAAACAAACCAAAAATAAAAATTTCAGTCGCATTGAATGATTTTTTTGGGGGAAAATAATTAATAAGTCCTATATTGCTCTTAATATTACTAACGATCGAGTCTTATCAAATTTCAATATGGACAATTAATTCTATTTGTGATAAAAAGTTTTCAAAAAATCCATTACTCCATAATGATGTGTCTTATCTCAATTTTACCCTTCCTATTTAATATGAACAACAATTTTATAAATAATTTTAACTTAATTAAAATTTTAAATTTTAATTGTAAAAATTATCAATCTTATACTTATAATTTTGTTTATGAAAAATCATTTAATTTAAAAAATTAAAAATAATTTATAAAATTTCTAATAAATTAAAATCATTTATGAACTTTTTTGTTCATATTTTAATGAAAAAGATAAATTGAAAATAAAATATACTATACTAGTATATATATACACAGGTTATTAAAACTTTTTTGACAATTAGTGATTTTTTTTATCACGATTTTTATAAATTGTTATTAAAACTTATAATTAGTGACGTATTTCTGTGACAAAATTTTCAAACTATTGCTAAAAGTTGTAAATTAGCAACTTTTTTTATGACGATTTTTTAAACTGTCACTAAAACTTATAATTAGTGACATTTTTTGTGACAATTTTTAAACTATCATTGAAAATTAACAATTAGTAACATTTTTTAGCAGTGTTTGATAAAAAATGTCATTAGCTATCACAGGACTTATTAAACAATAAATTCACTTATTAAGACTTACACATAAGTCTCCCAAATACTAATTTGAGAAATTTTGTGATTTTGCACCTTGGAAAGGATGCATGAGGTAAGATTTCACTCATTGTTGACACTTTGCTAAGTTAAAAATTAAGTTTAAGCTAAACGTGACAGGGTACCCTCCAAAATGTAGTTTGATTTTGATTTGTACTTTCATCCCATATAATAATAAACAAAAAAATTAAAAACCAAACATCACATAACAACTGTACAAAAAAAAAAAAAAAAAAAAAAAAAAAAAAAATCACACAAAGGCTACATGTGATAATAGGTTGAATTAGTCAATAAATTACTAAAAGATTAAAAAATCATATAAAAAAATTAAAGATTCATTCTCGTTCTTTTTACTTTTTATACATTTTTAAAAAAATTAAAAAATTATTCTCAAATATTTTAATTTTTTTTCACTTCATATTTTAATTAAAAAAAATAAAAAAAATCATTAAAGAACTATTTCTCAAACCAATCCTAAATCAAAAGTCAACCTTAAGTCATAAGTCGACCATGATGCAGAGATGCACATCACAGACTAATATTTTAAATTTTTATTAATTTTTCTTTTAATGTAGACCCATTGATTAACAAGAAGTCATGGCAACAAAACTTTTTCCAACTAGGATAATGCTTATCTCTACTTGCTTGTGTAATTTTCTACCAGTGTTATATACGAATTTTGTTTGAAATTTGATTCCTGTTTTCGTGTAAATTATGTGGATTCCTTGGGACATTTAAAAATATATATAATAAGTCACATAAATTTGACATAATAAGGGATGTGTCCCTATTTCTAGCCTTCCATAGGTTTGTGTGAAACTATATTAATACATATAGCCTTATGGGTTAAATATCATGTCAAAGGGGTGAGTTACTCTGTATTTGACTTGGTGTTTAGGATCAAAGCTTTGACTGTGAAATTTTGTTTTGAATTTTGAGTTTTTGAATCACAATTTGAAAAGATAAAATTTATTTGTTTATGAGTTTTAGAAATAGTTTTGGGATGATTTGTAATTTTTTTTTATATATATTGATTGATATATAGAATGTGAGAGGAGCGAGGAGAGAAAAAAAGTGAATGATTGATTGAATAATAATAATAAAAAAAATAAGAGAGGAGTTTTGAAAGTAATTTTGAATTGTATTTCAAAAATATGTTTGGTTAACATGTTTCATTTAAGGAAAAAGATCCGGACCCCCTGTGGAGGTCACTCCCACGACCTCCACAGGGCTCTCATTGGCCATTTTTTTTTTCTCTCTCTCTTCTCTTCTTCCAATAACCAACCCCCACGTGTGTGTGGGGTGGTAGGAGTTGGTGATTGAGGGGGTCTCAATCACAACCCTTCATTTAAATCATGATTTAAAAAAAAATCATGATTTGAAAATTATTTCAAACGCAACCTAATAATCTTATGAATTAATAGAGGGTTAGTTATTCAATTAAAACTGAAATCCTTTTGGTTTTTGTATTTTAGGTGTAATATTATTACAAAAATATGTAATATTGTTATAAAATGTGTAATTTCATTTTTGGTAATATTTATTACAAAAATGTATAACATAGCTAAAAAATAAATAATAGAATATAGAATTTCCTATACTTTGTAATCTCATGGAATAGATTCAAAAAATTAAGTAATTTTTTAGAATTTCATGAAAATGACCCTCCTAAATTATATAGTTGAAAAGAATGCCAGCTCTATGGGAACTCCGAAATAAGACACCTCTTTTTTGCGATATTATTATTATTATTATTATTATTATTATTATTATTTTGGTCTTTAGTGATATTTTTTTCAAAATTATGTCAAATTTTTTTTTTCTCCAGTATGTCTTGTGTAGAAGAATCTAAAAAGTAAATAAAAAATCCAAAATAAGCACAAAAAAAATCTACTATTTTTTGCTATTATCATTGTCATTATCATTATTCTTTTATTCTTCATTTTTTGAAATTTTTCTGTGACAATTCTCTGAATTTCTTTGTGATTATAACATAGAAATTTCTCATTCATGTCAAAATTTTTTTTTTCTCCAGTTTGTCTTGTGTAGAAGAATCTAAAAAGTAAATGAAAAATCCAAAATAAGCACAAAAAAAATCTACTATTTTTTGCTATTATCATTGTCATTATCATTATTCTTTTATTCTTCATTTTTTGAAATTTTTCTGTGACAATTCTCTGAATTTCTTTGTGATTATAACATAGAAATTTCTCATTCACTCTGAATTTTCTCTGTGAAATTTCTCTGAATTTCAGTCACAGAAACATTTGTTTGAATTTTGTTTGTGAACCGAAAGTTCTTTGTACTCAAAATTTCTCTGTGCTGAAATTTCTATGTTAAAATGTTGAGAGACTCCAACTATTATGAAAATATTGTATGACTTTGATCTTATAAAACCTTAATATGAGGGACTTTAAACTAAAACCACAAAATTAATAAATTGAGTTGTTATGTGTTATTTTATTTTTTTTTAAATATAAAAATTTAAAAAATTGTAAACTCAAATAACAAATTGTAGATTTGTTTTT